TTACATGTTGAAAAAATAACGTGGTATATGCGCTGACTATTTTTCATGACCATAAATATAAACACAAACATATATTAATACATATGTACTGTTATTCATGACTTCTTTAAGTTATACAAGACACACCTGTAATTTATGACTGTTGCCGATATAGAATTTGCATCTCATATCAGATTGATGAAACAAAACAAGAATAAACACTACAGAAATCATGTGATGAAGCATTTCACTTATATGGTTAATTTTACATAAAAATAAACTAAACAAATTGATATTTGCATGAAACTTGCTTTTTGCATGCTCTTTTGCCCATTTAGATTTCTCCCTTGACGTATGGAACTAGATAACATCACTGGTAACGTGGCCTCATTTTTATAATCACTTTTGACAGACATCTAAAAAACATCGTAAATGCAATCGTTTTAAAGTACAGTTTTTATTCATTGTATATAGATAGTCTGCAGGTTCAGTAAACGAATAAAGGCCTGCACTACATGTTCTGGTAGGAGACGAGTAACGTGGGACCCACTGCAGAATTCCTTCTGTGCCTACTGCTACGATGACATTGGAGAAACTAAAATGGATCTGCTGCCCCCTTGTAACTCATGGGAACCCTGCCATTTTTTTCACTCCTACCTACCCATTCTTGTCTCCACAGGCTCGTGTTTTCCAGTTTGTTGCTTTTTGTGTGACTCCAGTTGTTTCAAAAAGCAAAAGCTTTACGATACATTTAGTGAAATTTGCGTAGTCAGATGCATTATCCTGCAGAGGCGCTTAAAATCGAGTTGATATACGCCTCGTATAGTTTGAAAACGCCATCCTCCGCGCCTTCTTGTTTTATGACTCATGAGTGCCACGGGTAGGAACTGTCAGTAGATCAGATTATATAAAAAAAAAAAAAACAACAACACAGATTTGCGCCAAGAATCTAAGTGGATTTGAGTTCAAACGTTGAAAATGACATTTCCTTACTTTCTACATAAGAAATCATTGTCCGTAATGCGAATTGGGTGTTATTATCATACACCAATCATCTTTACTTACAGTAGGGCTGTCAAAACATCCTATTTGAAGGTACAGAGACGTTGGTGTACTGACACGCGTGTAGATTCCCACAGTAGTCAATTGCGTCGTATGAATTGAATTATTTCGTGGTTCTTATTTTGTAGTGATACGTATAAAGAAGATGTTGGTTCATAAATATACGAGTTAAGAACGAAGTTTCTCTTCGTCACTAAATCTTACAATAACATTGACAGTGTTATTACTTTATAACGTTTCCTGTATTAGAGTAGTAGCTGTCCTTTTGTATACCCAGGTATTCGTACATTCTTGTCAGTGTTAATGAATATAAAAATATCTAAATGACCTTAATATGTAATCAAGATAGCACACTTTTTATACGACCGAGTTCTATTAAATTAACCAAACATCCCATATGTTGGTGTAAGTTTCTGGGTTGTTTAACAGAGAGAATACGAAAGTGAAATACTCAATTGTTCGAGCTCTACACAATTAGCACACATCCCACATGTTATATATATGTACATGTATTGGTGTACGCTTTCTAGTGTGTTTAATGAATATAATATGACAGTGACATACTAAATTATTCGACCGAGTTCTACACAATTAACCCACACCCCACACGTTACATGTATGTTGATGACAGTTTTCTAGGACATTTAACAGATAGATCACGACAGTGAAATACTAAATTGTACGACTGAGTTCTACATAATTAACCCACACCCCACACGTTATATATACATGTTGGTTAAAGTTTTCTAGGGTGTTTAATAGATAGATTACGACAGTGAAATATTCAATTGTTCGACCGAGTTCTACACAATTACCACACATCCCACACGTTATATATATGTTGGTGAACGTTTTCTAGGTCGTTTAACAGATCGATTACGACAGTGAAATACTGAATTGTACGACTGAGTTCTACATAATTAACCCACACGTTATATATATGTTAGTGAAAGTTTTCTAGGGTGTTTAACAGATAGATTACGACAGTGAAATACTAAATTGTACGACCGAGTTCTACATAATTGACACACATCTGACACGTTATATATATATGTTGGTGAAAGTTTTCTACGGTGTTTAACAGATAGATTACGACAGTGAAACACTGAATTGTACGACCGAGTTCTACATAATTGACACACATCCGACACGTTATATATATATATGTTGGTGAAAGTTTTCTAGGGTGTTTAACAGATAGATTACGACAGTGAAATATTAAATTGTACGACAGAGTTCTACATAATCAACCCACACCCCACACGTTATATATACATGTTGGTGAATGTTTTCTAGGTCGTTTAACAGATCGATTACGACAGTGAAATACTCAATTGTACGACCGAGTTCTACATAATTAACACACACCCCACACGTTATATATATGTTGGTGTATGTTTTCTAGGTCGTTTAACAGATTGATTACGACAGTGAAATACTAAATTGTACGACCGAGTTCTACATAATTAACCCACACCCCACACGTTATATATACATGTTGGTGAATGTTTTCTAGATAGATTACGACAGTGAAATACTTAACTCATGAGACGTCACCGATGGCTTTACAATGTAGTTCATACTTTTGCATTTACATATAACCGTTGTGGTTCCCTGAAACCAAGACCAAATAACTGCAAATTGCGAAAAGGTCATTTAAAACTGTATTCGCGAAAAAATAATTATCTGCGGTAAATTTAGTGTAAGCCTGTGTGTCCAGCAATTTCACATTACCATCATGATCAGGTCAACGTTAAGTGCCCGTCCACTAATGAGATTAATTTAAACTTACGCACAAGGTCATCAGTTTCAAGTTGAAGTCTTGACACACTCCATTTAGATATAATGACCGGTCGTCGTCCGTTTGTTTTGTCAACTGCTTCCGGACAAATGACCGTCCACTAAGTGTAAATAGTAACGTATTGGTCAGTCAGCTGGGTTTAAGGGTTGCAAGGGCAATGCACTAATGGTAAATGATGAGAAATCAGGAATGGTAAAGAATGTTCATACTGTTACAAGTGAATTTTTCGCCGTGTATAAATTTTCACTACTTTCACGTTTACAAATTGGTTGTATCTATGTATTCCTTGAACATAATATATATTTAATAACATTATGTTATACTGTTAACAAGAGTTCACAAACTAGGAGTAAAACAAGTAAGAGCCTATAGAAACCCTATTCCATTATTCTAGGACATTAAACAATATTCGTTATAGTAATAGTTACGATGAAGGAGAGACAAAATAGTTAAGTTCCCATTGAAAAATATATATGAAAAGCTAGCTAATGAGCTTCAGACAATACAAGAAACACTTGTATTATTGTATACTGATGATGTTGTCAATTGTATACAGAATGCACTTTAAATCTTCCAGCAATATTGTAAAACATGGGAATACTGAATACATATCTGGATAAACAAGGTCCTGATGCAGGCATATTGCATAAGACAACATGCATTCCTCTCTTACACAGATCACGTAAAACGTAGCATACTCCCTTAGTTCTAAAATATGCTACCTTGCACACTATAACTCAGATTAACAGTATATAACCTACGGTCTAACACAAATCACAAGTATGTATTTAGTTATCGGGTATCCTTAACGCTTACACAAATCTTCATTATAACGTGTATGGTAACATAGATTTACTCTGCATCCATGGAATAGATCATGATGAAATCAAAGGCTCTGTAGAATATTTCAAACATAACAACGTAACGTAATGTAACGGTGAAATTGATCGGCGTTTATTCAATAGACAGGCATCGTCTTAGCGATTGGTATTTTTCTCCTGGAACTAATCAAATACATTGTAGCTAACCGTCTGCTTTCGGTTTTGTTATGACGTATTCCAGGGGTGCAGAGAACGCAAGTGAGCGTGACTCCTGGAATTTCCAGATGACATTTATTTCCTTTGTGGACAATTGCTGTTTCATTAAACCGGACTTGGTTAAATGCGTTTTGGTTTTCGGGAATATTGTCCGGATTATCGAGGTGTCAGGGGACCAGTTAACGACAACCGAACAGGGAATCTGACTTCTCTTGAATATTTACACCAATACACTATTCATTCATGCTAATGAATAATTCAAGATAATTCTCTATCAGATTCCAGTTGTGCTAGCGTGTTGCCGGTCGAAGGGCTCCATTCCATTGCACGTACTACGTTTTATGACTTTGAGTAATCATCAGCCGTATATTTGAGCTTGAAGATCGTCAATACCTAACCAAAAACCATTTAGGTAGCACTTACTATCCAACCTTCGCAGGTAATGTCAACAAAATCTATATTTGGGGGAGTCTGTATTTGTTAAGCATAATAATTATGGACGCTGGTATCGACAAGCTCATCTTGGATCGACAGTACCTGTCAGCGATGTGCCGGCAGGGGCAATTTATCGCAGACCTGTAAATAAGGTCTTGAATGCAAAGATATTGTGTATTTCCGTACAGCCCCTGTATGAAATTGAATAAAGAGCTACGCTGACTATTAATTGTGACAGTGCTACTGGCAACGTAATCGACGCAGGTTGTCGATTACTTTCTGTTTATTTCATCACGATATTGATTGGCAAAGTTTGATAGGTGTCTATACCTAAGGCCGTTATATTAATGATAATTGTTGATGTGTGTTTCACCTCAGTGACTGACATATTCGTAAAATGACAATATTCACATTTTAACACATATCCTGCTCTTTTTTAAGTACGTTATAGCATAATTTTTATACACGTGCAGTTGGTGTTAGTGGTGTCGTTGGTTGGTTGGTCGGTTGGTTGGTATGTTGGTTGGTTGGGGGGGGGCATATTATTCGGGTGCAAAAGTCAACATACATACTTTAAATTGAATAAGTGTACAATGCTACAGATGCATGTATGGTATACATTAACATTAACTTGTACATGTATAGAAGCGTGTGTTTACATAATTACATTATTTGGTTCAGCCTACCTTTTCACCTTTTCCACCTTTCCATGTCGAATTTTCCGGGTGACACCATTACTGGAGTTCCCAACCAAGCTCCTCAGCAGAACACTTTTATTGGTTTCCTCACACTTAGTCACAAGAATAACAGTTTTGTCCGTGTAACGTCCCTCAAGTAATCCACCATCTTCCTGGAAGACATCATCCACGTATTCGTCGCTGTTTTCCTCGTCGTCCGCAGTCGAGGGGGAGGGTGATTTTAGACCTGTACTTTCAACGGAGGACATCCGTACGACCATTTCTCTGCACTTCGTGGAATGTTCCAGTTTGAAGTCTTGATGGTCAGTCCGGAGCCCGAAGGTGTTTTTGTGTGTTGACGGTAGTGTAATTGACCACGTAACACTATACCGCTGACGACACGGGCACCGCCCCCTAATACTTAGGTACTCGACATGTAAACATTGGCGTTAGTACTTACATATTCTATGCGGCAATACTATTCACTACATGTAATTGTAGATCTGGAGTGCAGAAAGCATGTTAAGTAATCTAGAGCTTTTTCTATGAACCAAACAATACCATGTTGTAATACTGTTCTATCCCAAAAAGAACTTTTTGAAGGTCGTTTGATAGATTTACATGTACGATATGGGGAAAGCCCGTTATAAAAATCGAACGTGCTTTATTTATATCACGGATTTGTATACCATAGTAGAATTGATATATATATGAGATATGATACTGCATACATATATTTTAATTATGTAGTTTAGGTCTGGACATGAATATTCAGTAAACCGTGCGACCAGAGATCGAACGTATAAACTTTGTACGGACCCGCATGGAACGTTAACACTGATGATAACGACGAATACGCGAACTGTGAAAAGTATGACCAGCTTAATCATTAATGTTCGTGAAACTTTAGTCGACGATATTTAATAGACTAACGAATATATAATAAGGCGTGGCTATGCTTTTAAATGATCATCTAGATAATCTGAAGCATAGATATTATTGTAGATTTGAAAGTTAAACTCGTACTAGTATTAACACATAAAAAATCGGTTCAATGCAACTAACACAACTTCGAATACTTGCCACAAAGCAGATCAGTACAGCTGCTAAATACATATATGAATAAATCTGTTTTAATAATAGTATTCGTTTTATCGAACAGGTATTTTTCAATATAAGATTTATAGAATATATTATTATTTTTCGTGTAAAGTTAAGTGGAGAATTTTATTAATACCCCAGGCCAAAACTATAAAAGCTTTAAGGATATATGTACTGGACACGTGTAGGCACAAACTCGTGTCGAGATAGTTGTATCTGTATGGAGTGTTTCCTGCTTTATAATGCTAGATAAAGTGTCTACATGAGTGACGGGTTCAGGATGTTTAAAGGGGAAAGGACAGCACATTGATAGCGATATCAGGGTTTAAAAGTCATCCAGCTCTCTTACTCCGTCATTTAGTAAACACCTACAGTATTTGTGTTATGTTAGTAGTGTGTTGCTGCAGAGTAGGCTGTTAACAAACATATGTGTAATATTTTGATGCAATCTCCTACATTGCATTAGGCGTAGAGTGGAGTATGGATGAAGAAAAAGTGTGGTAATCGAGAAAGAATATCAAGGGTTCAATATTCAACTTGTTAATCGTTAGAATGATTAAATTTCTAGTTAAAAATAGTTTTCTTGAATTTGGTGGTAAAATTTTACTGCTAATTTTTGGTATACCTATGAGCATAACATGTGGAATCAACTGCCTTCGACGGAATGTTTTGGGGTTTTTTTAAATCTCTTTTCTTTCTTTTGCTAACTTTATCAGAAAACTTATCAGGACAGGTAACAGACTTTTGTTTGGGCTTCATTTATTTTTTATTTTCGGGTCTTTAAATAACAAGAATGCATGGGGTCTTTCCCGAACACCAACTCTGCTTAAAATCACATGTTTACATAGGTGGCCAGTTGTGATGATAGTGAGTTATAGTCTATTGCAGAAATGGTTTACAGGTAAATTGCAAAGGTAAATCAACTTCTACTCAGATAATCAATAACTGCTAATAATTGCAAAATAATAATTAATGTTTAGAACAGTTTTCAGAATCAGTCATATATATATATTAGGATATATTAGTTAAACTTGTATTTTCAGATTTGTGTGAATTATCTTATAATTATTGTCATACATTAGCTAAACTTGTTCTTATTTTCCGATTTCTATGAAATACGATACTTCTTAGGCTATCATACAGAATGGTTTTTTAACCCAACTTTGTAGACATAAAAAGGGGCTGTAGACAAAGGGATCCGGTATCATCTTACTTATTTCTTTTGGTAGTTGAAATATTAGCTATCATGGTAAAAAAAACAATAAAAAGGGCATAAACATAAATAACAAAGAACACGGGCTCTCACAGTTCGCTGATGACACATCCGTTATTTTAAATGGCAGACAATCTTTATATGATATAAATATGCTAAAATATCGGGGTTAAAAGTAAATACTGAAAAAACTAAAATGAGGAACAACCAAATTTACCTTATTTGGGATTGATTTCTTTGTCAATTTAGAAGACATGGTTACTGTAAATGTCAACAAAATTATTAGTATTATAGATGGCAAGTTACATCAATGGTCAAGAAGAATTTTAACATCTATAAGGAGAATAGCTGTTCTTAAATCTCTTATCATCGCAAAAATGAATCACCTGTTTATATCTCTCCCTACTCCAAGTAAAGACATAATTCAATCATTGAACAACAAAAAAAACATGTCTGGCAATCACCAGTTGATAGAATAAAACACTCAACAATTGTTCAAGACTAGAGTGAGGGTGGACTCAAAATGATTGATTTAGAAAACTTTATATATGGACTTAAAACTAGCATTCAATGGGTCACTTTCCGGCTTCTATCAAGAATACTTCCACTTCATCATTATTTGAAAATAATTGGAATCAAACAATGTGATTTATGTAATTTATGCCAAGAAAGCAAACAAACTATAGAACATCTTTTGTAACGGTGTCAAAAACAAATAACTTCTGTCAAGACATACTTAGATGGATATACTTAAAAACTGACCAAACATTCGAAATAAAGGAAGATATTATACTTTTTGGCAAAACTTCTGAATTCCAAAAATCCATTCCAACTAAAATCATCATGATTCATGCAAAATTCCTCATCTACTTTAGCTCCAGAAAGGTTTACTGTTTATATTTATGTTTAATAATGGCTATCTTTTAGTGCTGTATTAAATGTGTATTACTGTTATATGTAGGAATAGAAACTGTATTTTATTGCTGACATTAGTATCAATGTGGCTTAAATTAAGGAATTTTGTGTTTCATATAATGTAATGTTATTTTTCTTTTTCATATAATGTAAAAATTAATATTCAATGATTATTTTCTATTACTTAGTTCTGTGTTAAATGTGTATTACAGTTATATGTAGGAAATAAAAACTTTTTATCCATTTTATTATTGACTTTAGTATCATATCTACATGAGTTGACATTCTTAGTTGAAACAGGCTATAACTAAACTTCAAAGGATTTCCTATATAAACACTTTCCTTTCAATTCTCCAGAGTTGGTGTTCGGGGAATGAGCCGAATCAAGGACACCACGTTTACCTATACCATGGCCAACAGAGATGGCTTCCGTTACTACTAGGTAAGCTGTTTCATCAGTGTGACGATTTCGATTTTCCGTTCATTAACTTTCCCCTGACTTGATTGCAATATTGTACCTTCTACCACATGGCAGTTGATTCGATGTTCACGAAATTGCTCCGAATATCACTATTCCTGTGAAAGATGTCGAAAGTTGACGGATAAACTAACAACACAGGATTTCGAGAGACGCAGGTTGATGAAGACGTATGGCAAGTATTGTGGTCGCCATCATGGAGATTCTTATTAGGCAATGTTCAAATTTTCGATAATATTTTTTAAACATCGATTTTTTTTAAATACGCTTGTTCGTGTGCCTTGTGTTTTTGTTATTAGAACCTTGATTCTTGTTTTGATGACATAAAAAATACTTTGCCTTTGACCTAGATTTACTTGGCGGGCGTCGTCGATGAAGTAGAATTCGTTTACTCTCCAGGAACATTCATGATTCTGTGAAAATCAAATTCTGTGAGGTTCAAGCAAAATTTTTGTAAGTCGCTTATACGATGTAATACGGCCATATAGTCAAATGAAAACATTTAAAACTGCATTTGGCTTTAAGTCTGTCTCAAATTCTTTAAAATCAATAACAAACATGATTTGGTTTTTTTTCAATTTATTACAGAAAGAAGAAATTGGGCTTTAACACAGAGTCTGAGAATGAGCAATGAGAATAGGTTTTATGAATACGGGCCAAGGACGACCTTTTATAGCTTTAACTTCATCAATGGTCCGGTGTAAATATTCCTTTGCTCAGTTTTCTCCTACCGTAATCAAACTTTCCTCGAATTTCAGTTTTGTCAAGTTAACATTTCAGTTTCTTCTCTTTGTTTAGTAAATTTATCATAAGAACAGTGGTTAAATTGATGCTTCAACAAACACAGTGTATTCTTAAGAGAATGCTATTTCACTCATTATATAGAAGATAAACAGTCAAACTGTATTGCTCGGTTCTAATAGATGTTTAATTAATATGTAGGTTCGAAGTATTATCTTCCTTTCACCAAATGTATCCGTAATGTTGCCATGATCAATCAAAGCACAATTAAAAGTACCGCCGTACGGGACAAGTACTTGGATTTAGGAGTGTGATGGAGAGATTCGAGATAAAGAAATTCATTTCATTTTTCATTTTGGTTTCTTTGAGTTTGTCCCATTTACAGCTATGGATATTTAAGGGCGTGCCAGGTTTTGGAGGTGGAGAAAAACAGGAGTGCCTGTGGAAAAACCACCGACTTGCGGCCAGTACCTTTCGGAATATGCTTTACCATACCTCTGGCAATTTAAAGATCGTGTTCATCCAATATAAATTTGTTATAATTATTTTTATCAAAATAAGCTGTAGCTTTAATTGGAAAATTAAAATAGGTTTGGATTTAGAATAATAAACCAAGTATATTACATCAAGAACACACAGAAACACGTTTGGGAAGTTGCAAAATTATTTTCAGTTTAATTCCATATTTTATATGTCATCTTAATTAGACAGTATCTTAAAGACAAATAAAAAATACATGAAAATGAGTTTGGATTTAGAATAATAACCCAATTTTATTAGAAGCTAAGTCCATTCCTTGGTGTTAGCGTCTGTTTAACGAATAGACACGCACCAAGTTTAAGTAATATGTCATAGGAATTATTCTTAAATAACGTGTTGTTGTTGTTTCCATTGTCATTAATTATTCAAGTCTCGATTCTGT